CCCCCGGTTCGCTTGTGGTGCCAGCTACTGCTGTACAGTGTAGCTCACGTACGCACAAAGAAAATATTGTGCGCATTCACCGATTCATGCTCTCTGCTCCTGCCACCATCAGTAATCGGATCGGAATGGTCGCACACACGTCAATGTTTTGTCCTCTTCCACAACCCCAAAGTACTGCTTGTAGACACTTGTAATAACAAACAAGCTGCAGCAGTAGCTACTTCTGGAGTGCTGACTACACACCATCTTCCCGTACAGAGCGTGTGCGTATCGTTTACGCTGCCCCCCCCTCCTGTGTAACAAGGACCGACAACTTCAAGTGAACCAACAATTGTCACCTGCGTGTAACGCGTACTTTATAGTCTTTCATGGCACAACGAGAGGCCCCATCAACGAACGACGCGTCAGCCGTTGTTCAGGATACCTACCGTATATGACACAAGATGACACACCCCCTGGACCGATTTTCAAATCTTGATTTCTCAACAACACAAAGTGTCAAAGCGCCGAAACCGGCGGCGTTGGAACCGCCTTGTCGAGAGCTTTCCAAAAATGTATCGTTTCGTTTATGCGTCCTCTTGGTCGTGGAGTAATCGAGCGTTGAAAATTGGTCCAGGGGGTGTGTTATCTTGTGTCATATACGGCAGTCCACATATATACACACTTCCCCCCCCTTCCCGGCCTGCTCCCCGGCCGGGGCCGAAATCGACCTTGTGAGTCCCTCGCGGGCGAACCAGGCCACAACAGATAGTAGGTGGGTGGTGTCCCAAGGTGCAACTCACCGCCGCGCTGGCTCAGCGTGGCGGTGAGGATGCACAGACGGTGGTAGTGGCGAGAGGTGTATGTGGACCTTGTCCCCGCGGCAGCAATGCAAAGCGGCAAACTGCACCTGGTAACCACCGTCGCGGAAAACGTGGCCCACGAAGCTGGAGGAGCAGAGAGATTCGTAAAAACCACGCGAGTAAGCACCGTTCGCGGGAGAAGGGAGATAACCGCGGGCGACGCGGGGGGGGAGTGCTGCACCCTCCTCGTCCAAACACCACAGGCAAGCACCGAGCCCTGCAAAGATGGATCGATGCGAAGAAACTCGCCGCTCGGATTAAACGGAAGAAAACACCCCCCCAGCGCGAGGCGGACCGAGAGCGACAGGAGATAGCAGCGGGCGTGAAGGCGACCGCGAAGAAGAAGGTACGGAAGGGCGATTTATCGTTCGGCACGTTCAATGTACGCACGCTCGCCTACAGCGGCAGGAACCCCATCGGCCACAACGTGATGACGGTCATGCAGATCTGTGCCGCGACCGACTGTGAT